TCAACAGGCGAATTTTATGGTATGTGAATTATATTTCAATTAAGAAAAAAATTAATGGGAGGAAGACGCTGATAGAGAGAGAGTATAGACAACTACTTTTTCATAAACTTGAAGGATGCTACAATACTGATAAAAGGCAAAGTTTGAAGACAGAGGAGAGAAGAAAACAGATGGAGGAAGGGATGGAGAGGGGTCCCTGAAGAAGCTGATGGGATAGAATCTAGAGCAGCTTTACAGAAACCAGCCACACAGGAAGAATAAAGCTTTCCATTTAGGGGCATGAGAAAAAAAGGATGATGGCTGAAGGTATACAGCTAAGTGGGTATGTAGAAGGTCCAGAAGTTGAGAGGCTTGCCAAGACACTGTAGAGGCTCAACTGGATGGGGGCCTAAGGGGAAGGGAGGCATCAAGGGTAACTGATAAATGCCTCTCGAATTTGGAAACTTAATAACCTGGGCAATACTGGCATGGAAGCAAGATTGATTTGGGGACCTTGATGAGGTCCGTTTTCAATATGTTGACTTCAACACTTTGGCAGGACATCGGGGTGAAATGGTTAGCAAGTGGCTAGAAGTTGAGAATTCCATAAAGCACTCAGAGGTACAGATGGGTTGTGGAAAGGAGATACACAAAGTAACAGCTGAAGTTGTAGGCGTGGCTAATCTCACCTACAGAGACAACAGAGAAAGGAGAGAAGGTGGCCAAGGGTACAAGTCTGAGATATGTCTGCTTCTGGAGATAGGAGATCACAAAGGGACCCATAGAGACAGCAAAAGAGTGGCCCAGAATAAGTAGCATAATAGGAGGGGAAAAGCCTCAGAAAGCCACAGGATAGGAGAGCTTCATGGACAAAAAGGGGTGTGATGGTATAACAGGTTCCCATAGGGATGATAACTACTATAAGGCTATTGAATATTATGAGATCTGCAGTAATCCTGAAGGAACAGTTCTCTAGAAAGAGTACGAGTGCAAGTGAGATCCAGAGTCCTCTCCATGATCAAAGTCTGAGAAAGCTTAGTGCTGGGACCACAGAATACAATTCACTGCTCTTGACTTCTCGTAAGAACAAAGCCAGAGAGCCCTTTCTGGCAAATAATGCTCAACACAGTCTTATAGTATGACTTTTCACCACAGAATAGAGCACACCAGGCATGAATATTCCAGCCTGAAAGCCAGTGTCAGACCAAAAGGCTCTCTGGAATTCCATAAATTGGTATGGCACGGCATTGTTAAAACAGGCTAGGTGCCAAGTGGTCCAGCCCTCTCAATTTCTAGACGACACAAATCCAAATTTTCCACATTTGGGCTAAATTAATTTTCCCAAGGAAATTCTTTGGGTTGGAAGAGCCAGTTCTATAACTAAGGATCTCTGTCTTCTTTACTGCCATCTGTTCCCCCCCAAAATACCACTCACCTTTGTGAAATAACCTCCAATGCTCTTTAGGAAGTGGAAAGCGTAAGCAGTAGAAACGCAATGCCTAGAAAAATCTGCTCCTTAGCCTATCCTGTGGGAAATCTGCTCAGCCTGTTCTGTAGTGGTCTTCCAGTTGCAAAAGCAGATGCTTGTTCATTTGTCATTGATTTGGTAAATCTAGTAGAACATTCCTTTCCTTTCTTTCTCGTGATGATTCTTGCCGCAGTGTGTCAACTGGGATGTTAGTGGATGACAGCATTTATCCAGCAATGACAGTGGTTGCCCTTAACATCAGCCATCAGAAGAAGCTTACTAAATGTTATTTGATGATGGTAAGGCGCAGGAACCATCCACAGCATATATGCCCTTGTCCCTTTTTCCTCGCTGCTCATAATCACAAAGAAGAATCGCATCTACGCACGCACACATATATTTTTAGCTGTCTCGAAGCACTTGGCAAGCTGAAAATTCATGCACCAGACACCTGCGAGGACCATCTTGCAGCTCACGGAAATGCAGCCTGCTCTGAACCAGCATCTGTTCTCCAGTGCAGGGCAATGGCATGGAGGAGCTCAGGGCAGGACCCGAAGACAAATGACTTAGCAAGTGGAGCAGCAGGTGGGATTCTAGGTAGCCAGAACACAAGGAGCAGATGGGAGAAACTGAGCAGCCAAAAAGGGCTTCTGTACGCAAAGTGCTCTGGATTCCTTCATGACCCCAAATGCCTGAAACCTGGAACACATGCCTGTTGGGTCTAGAAATCAAGAAAAAGAAAAGATATTGGGGAAAAAATACACATCACAGTCATTCAATACCAACAGCAAAGTCTACCCGAAGTCCTCTGTGTCTAGAGGGCTGGGTGGCTGGGACATAGGCAACCGACATTCAAGAAAGCCCAGATTCCAATATTTAGAATCAGACTTGCAACTTCAAGGTAGTGACCAAATTTGACTACAGGTAGTCACCAAATACTTGCTGGTTTTGCCATTGTTCAGAGAATGTACCTTTATTGGATTTCACTAGTCCACTCCAGGGGGGACAGTATAAAGGTTCTTATTTGCCCAAACAAATTAGAATTTAAGTCAGAAGGACATCTTAGATCTTTCACCTCATTGTCATGGGCCTGGGACCTCGAGAGACAAGCATGAACAAAAGGGGGTCTTCCTAAGGCCGAAAACAAACACAAACACTCCACCTGTTCTTCTCCCTCCCTCTCCTCTGCCCTGTTCCTCCTTATTCCTCCTGCCCTCCTTTCCTTCCTTCCTTCCTCCCTCAAATGTTTTTATTATAGTTTGCCTTTGACTTCTACACAATTGGATAAACACACTTCTTTTGGGAGTAATTGCTAAAAATAGCAGATCATTTTTGTCCCTGTTAAGTTTTGTTTTTTTTTTTGCAACGCTGCATTAAAAGCATGGGCACAATAAAGGAAAGAACTTGTTCATCATCACATCATCCCATCAGCTGTGTATTTTTCCTTGTTGCCTTCCGGTCCTTGTTTATGGGATTGGTACATGCATTGCGCAGAAAGGGATTGTATTTACAGTCTGCCTTTTCCGCATTTTTCCCTGAATTCTGAACCTTCATTCTTTCCCTACTGTATCTGTCCGTCCGGGCCATGCACACCAGAGTACAAACTAGCACCAGCAGGAACTCAGCGGGCTTGGCTCACTGTTTCAGCGTCTGGCATTCTGGAGGCATCCAGTACCCATTTTTTGAATAAATCTAGTCTTTACAATTGTACTTTTTAAAGGCTACCTGGGTTCCATTGAGTAGATCATATGGTTATTTCCTGCCGTCAAGTTGCTTCCAACTTTCCACTCCCCTATGTATAAAAATATATGTATAACAAAATACCAGCCATCATCGTATCTATGGCTTTTTCCCTCCCCTTCACTTATTTCCTAAATATGAAGGTCTCATGTGGGTTGTCCGTGGCTTAAGTGGCCTTAACGTTCTTATACTTCTTTTTTTTAAAGATTTTATTTAATTATTTGACAGACAGAGAGAGAGAGAGAGAGACAGCGAGAGAGGGAACACAAGCAGGGGGAGTAGGAGAGGGAGAAGCAGGCTTCCCGCGGAGCAGGGAGCCCGATGCGGGGCTCGATCCCAGGACCCTGGGACCACGACCTGAGCCGAAGGCAGACGCTTAACGACTGAGCCACCCAGGCGCCCTCTTATACTTCTTGATATGTATTTCCAAATTACTCTTCCAGCAGAGATAGTCTCTCGCCATGGCTAAGCGTGCTTTTTCAGAGAAACTTCCAGCTGCCTCCTAGGGGCAGAGCCAGAACCCTGGGAGATCTCGCTGCTTTCCGTCCTCGGTTTTAAAGAGTAACCAGATGCTTTTCTTGTCCTCTGTGCACGTTCCCAAGCACTTCCTGAAAGCCATCACCTCTATCTTTGGTTTAAATCACTAAGAGGAGGCTAGGAGCTGGATCCCATCTAGGAGCTGACGCTGACAGCAAGTTGGAGTGCAGGGACGCCTCTTGGAGCTCTTGGCTACCACGTGGGTTGAAGGCAGCCTTCACACATCTGCTCCTCGGTTGTGGGACCTCTTCCTCTGCTCCAGCATCGCTTACTTTGCACAAGATGTGTCTGTGTAAAAATTTTGTTTCCCCACCCACTCCTTCTCTGCAGTTGCCCCGTGCCCAGACAGCACCCAGTGCGCTACATCTGCTGGGAGCACATGGGGCATCGGCTCCTAGAGGAAATTCACACAGAACTTACAGTCGAGCCACGTCCAGGCCTTGCCAGTTACCCTGCCACGTGCCCGTTGAGGGGACAGTAGAAGACTCCGGACGCTAGTGGTGGAAGCCCTTGTTCTATTTCTAGAAGCTGCAAGATCATGGGTGAATCACTTAACCACCTACAATCCTCGGTCCCCTTCTCTGTGAAAGAGAGGAAATAACAGCTCTCCTGTTTCTCCTGCTCCTGGTGAGAATCACTGAAACAATGCACATGAACACTTTGCAAACTGTGAAGTGTTACGCAAGGTAGAGCATTGGTGTTACCCTGCAGTACCGACTATGAGGTACACGAGAGACCAGTGGGGTGGCAGACGCCCTTGTTTACCTTCCTACTCGGTCCTTACTCGCTGAGCCCGTTGTGCTCAGGTGGCAGGTAGCTCTGTGGCTGGTGCACAGGCACAGGTCATCATTGATCTCCAGGGGTCGTGGAAATCCCATGCCTTCTTTGCTGCTTTGAAGTAAGCATGTGATCTGATGCAGACTCATGACCCCTGCAGGAAAGCAGAGCAGTGACGGGTGGCTGGCCCTGCGGGAAAGACAGCCCTCCCTGACATAAGGAGAAAGCCACGTGAGGAGAAACCCTCCCCTTTCTCCCTGCTTGGTGTTGCCACATGAGTGCTGGTGCTTGGTGCCACTGGCGCGGGGCACGACAGCTGCTCTCTGGCACCCAGCAAGGGAAAGCCAAAAGCAGCTCGGGTGCTGAGCCAGGGTCCCGACTTGGTTGAACCAGTGCATCGACACCTTCTGGAACCGCCAATCTCCAGATTGCTTGTTTTGTGCGATTTGCTACGAAAACCAGTTATTCTCTGAAAGGGACAAGGGGGACGCGCCTGGGGGTGATGGAGTGGTCAGATTGAGCACATCGCGGTGGGCAGGCCTGATTCCTCGTCCTCTGCTTCCGCTCTGCTTTATTGTGGTTCACTCTTAAAATTACAGTAATGAGTACATCTCTGAGGCAAAAGCAAAACCATATATGAATTTAGGAGTGGAAATAAAATATGAAAACTATGTGGCGAGGGGAACGGTGGGCACTGGGCACTGGCAGTGGGCTGGCAGGTCTGCCCCCACCCCCCGAACACAGGGAGGCTAGGACAGAGAACAGGGCGGTGTGGGCACGGCCCTGGGTGCGGGGTAAATATGGGGATTCTGGGGCTTGAGGAGAAACCAGGAGGAGGAGATAGACCTCCCCCCGGCATACTGCCGCCTACCCTCTATCGGGCTTTCCCCAAATGCGGCTCTTACTCCCATGATTAGGCTGGGTAGTTTGCCTTATTACCATAAAAGTTATCAACTTAGCCTTTTGTTTAGGTTTTGTTTGTTTGTTGGTTTCTAATTGGGCTCCACACCCAGTGTGGAGCCCAACTCAGGGCTTGAACTCACAGCCCTGAGATCAAGGCCTGAGCCAAGATCAAGAGCCTGGCACTTAACCAGCCGAGCCATGCAGGCGCCCCTAGTTTTTCACCTTAAGTGCATGGAACTTTACCAAGTGCAATCCGTGGCTCATGACGCATAATCATCACTGGTCCTTACATAACCCCTCTTCCTTTCATGATTTATTTTTATTACATAACAAACACAGCTAAGCCAACCTCACCCGAGACTTAAAAATTTCCCAATGACATGCACCCACCTATGTGCTCATCTACTTCCCCGCCTGCTTCCTGCAGCAAGTTAACACCTTGGATTTTGTGTTTATCGTTCTTATCCTTTTTCCTCTTTGTGTGTGTTTTACCCCATATATTTTTTTTTGAATTTTAAAGTACATCTGTTTAATTATATTATAACCATTAATGCAACATCTGCCTCAATAATTTCATTTCAATAATAAAAAATGATGGCATAATGATGGTTTAAAGCTGGTTCAATTGCAATTTTAGAGGCTTACTTATCAAGAGTGAAAATAGAAGACTATTAAAAAATAGCTAAAAAGGTAACATGTGTCACAGTGCTTAATGTTTCTGTAACTGTTGGTAAGGCTTACATCTAAATTTGATGCAGAATTCTTAATGGCACTGAAATAGTTTTCTCAGCCACATGGTATATACCAGTACTATGAGTCTGGAAGAGACTGGCTATGGGTACCACTCCTTGTCTGCAATTATGACTGTGCAATATCAGCAAGTGCACTTTGTATCTTTTCCAGAAGCATGTCCCCTCGATAAACAACATCCTCCAGACATGTAGCAGCTTAAGTGCCGTGAAGATTCATCCAAGTTGTCTCATGTGGCTGGCGCTAATCTATTTTCACTGTGGTGTGGTAGTCCATTGTGTGGATATGCCACAATTTATCTATTTTCTTGTCAAAGGACATCGGGCTGTTTTCAATGTCTTCATGAAAAGTCTTGCACGTGTCTTAATGCACAAGTGCTATAGATTCTCTTGGGTATTTACCTCGTAGTGGAATTGCAAATATGTAGGTATTGCAAGAGACATGATAATGCCAAATTATTTTACAAAATGGTCGCTACATTATTTTCCTACTGGCAAGATAGAGGAGATCCCAATCACCCTTTTATCACTATATTTAGCATTGTCAGACTTAACTTTTGTAATCACATGGGTATAAAATAGGGTCTACTTATGCACATGCTGTAAAATCCCCCGAGGCTTTTACCATCTTTTTATGTGTTTATCGGCCATATGTGCTTTGTCTTAGATAAAATACATTTTTTATGTTTTTTGCTCATTTTTCTATATTGGGTTGTTTTCTTTTTCCTATTGATATGTAGGAATTCTCTCTTACCCTTGAGTAATCTTACTGGTTATTTTTTGTGGTGCAAATATCCTCTCTCTCATCTCTTGCAAGGATAGAATACAATTATTCTCAGAAACAATATATTCTAAATACACATTAAGAAAGACTTCAGTATTTGGTATTGTCAGCTTTTTGGAATTTGGCCACTTTAGTAAGTGTGTGATAGTATCTTGTTTTAATTTGCAATTCCATAATGACGAATAATGTTGAGCAGCTTTTCATATGCTTATTTGCCATCTGTGGATCTTCTTTGGTGAGGTGTCCAGATATTTTGCCCAGTTTTTTTCAGTTGGGTTCTTTGTTTTCTTATTATTGAGTTTTAAGATTTCTCTGTATATTTTGGATACTAGTCATTTTTGCAAGTATTTTCTCCCACCCTGGGTCTTCTCTTTTCATTCCCTTAGCAGTAGCTTTTACAGAAAATTCTTTTAAATTTGAATAAAGTCCAGCTTATCAACTTTTTTCTTCTGTGCATCATGTTTTTGTGTATCCAAAAACTCATCACCAAACCCAAGGTCACTAGATTTTGTTTCCTGTGTTTTCTTCTTGAACTTCGTTAGTTTTGCATTTTGTATTTAGGTCCAAGATGTATTCTGAGTTAATGTGTATGGAAGTTGTACGGTCTGTGTCTAGACTTTTGTTCTTTGGTGTGTGTCTGTGTGTGTGTGTATTTCGGCATATGGTCATGCATTTGTCAGCACTGCTTATTGAAAAGAATATCTTTTCTCCATTGTTTGCCCTTGCTCCTATGTCAAAGATAAGTTGACTACATTTGTGTGGGTCTGTTTCTGGGCTCTCTCTTCTGTTCCACTAATCGAATGGTCTATTCCTTCACCAGTACCACACTATCTGAATTACTGTGGCTTTATAGTATATCTTGATGTCCAGAAGTCAGCCTTCTGTTTTGTCTCCATTTTCAGGAGTGTGTTGGTTGTTCTGGGTCTTTTGCCTTTTCACATAAATGGTAGAATCAATTTGTCAATATCCGCAAAAGAATTTGCTGAGATTTTGATTAAATTGCATGAAATCAAGGGAGAAGAAGTGACATCCTAACAATACTGTCTTCCTATCCGTGAACATCAAATATCCCTCCAGTTCATTTTTTAAAAATATTTCATATTTTATTTTTATCTTGAATTAAAGGAACAGAGCATGAAGTGGAAAGAAATAGCCACTAAGGGGGTGCCTGGGTGGCTCGGTCCGTTGAGTATCTGACTCTTCGTTTCACCTCAGGTCCTAATTTCAGGGTCCTGAGACCAAGCCTCACGTCAGTCCCCGCGCTCAGTGCAGTCAGCTCAGGATTCTCTCTCCCTCTGCCCCTCCCCCTGCTCATGTGCTCTCGCTCTCGCTCGCTCGCTCTCTCTCTCAAATAAATAAATAAAATCTTTTTTTAAAAAATAGCCACTAAGGAGGTGACTCAGGTGGGACGAGACAAACCTCTTCTTTTTAACTACAATTGAGAAAAATACCTTCAAATTAGGGAAGAGGCAGACCTTGCGTCACATGTACAACAAATAAGCAATGACTGGGAGCTCTTTTGATATTTAGACCAAGTGTAGAGTGTATGAATAGGATTATTTCAGCCCTAAAACAAAAGCTCTCTGTTGAAAGAATCTGGTGCACATAAACCGTTGTCTGTTTGGAGTACCTGAAGAACTATAAATGTAAATCATGGTCAAATCTAAAAATTGGTTAAGTTGGACTCATTTTAAAAAGAAATAAAGTGGAAACTTAATTTGCTTATCATTAGTTAGGCCAGTGATCCAGGACTGCATTGGGTGAAAATCTAATTTATCTTAGCAAACTAGGGCGTGGCCATCACTGATAAAATGAGGAAGTAATTTGAAGCAGTTCTTCTTCTATTTGGGTCAAAATATAGTTTGATCTCAATTTTCTAGGTCATTTAAGTAAAAGTTGTCCCTGGGAGTGGAAAATCAGTAATTGCTTCATTTCTCTGTTTTCTATGGTAGGATGATTACACACTGGTATTTCTCCGAAGAAAACATAAGCACAACCTGGATCCAGTTTAGCATTAAGAGTGAATATGTTAATTATTCATTCATTCATTTATTTAGTCAACAAGATTTTATTGAGCACAGCGTGCCAGGCTCTGTTCTAGGCCCAGAAGAGAGGCGTGCTCTGAAGAAATATAGAGCAAAGAAGGGAGACAGAGCTTGGATGGTCAGTTTCATATGGGGTGGTCAGAGAGAGCTCCTCTTACAAGGTGACCTTGGAGCACACACAGACCCACAGGAAGAAAGAAGGGGCACCATGTAGGTACCTGAAGGCAAATGCTTCTAGGTAGAAAAAGACAAGTGCAAACACAGGAGCACCCCTGGGGTTTCTGAGGAACAGCAAGGAAGCCAGAGTGGGGGTCAAAGGACGGAGTGAGGAAGCAATCAAGTCAGAGTGGATGCGGGGGCCAACAGGACCATGTGGGGCCTTGTAGGTCTTGGGGGGACTTCTGGAGGCCTTTGAGCAAGAGACTGAAATGTCTTGATTTCCATTTTTAATATCTTTTTTTTTTTTTTTTTAGAGTGCGGGTGGTAGGAGCAGAGGGAGAGGAAAAGAGAGAATCTTTTTCTTTTTTTTGTCTTTTATGCGTGCACTTTAATTCACATAAACGTTGTGTTTTATTTTCTTAATTTTTTTTATTAACATATAATGTATTATTTGTTTCAGGGGTACAGGTCTGTGATTCATCAGTCTTACACAATTCACAGCGCTCACCATAGCACATACCCTCCCCAGTGTCCATCACCCAGCCACCCATCCCTCCCACACCCCACCACTCCAGCAACTCTCAGTTTGTTTCCTAAGATTAAGAGTCTCTTATGGTTTGTCTCCCTCTCTGGTTTCGTCTTGTTTCATTTTTCCCTCCATTCCCCTATGAACTTCTGTCTTGTTTCTCAAATTCCTTATATAAGTGAGATTATATGAAACTTGTCTTTCTCTGATTGACTTATTTCGCTTAGCATAATACCCTCTAGTTCCATCCACGTTGTTGCAAATGGCAAGATTTCATTTTTTGATGGCTGCACAATATTCCATTGTATATCTATTCCACATCTTCTTTATCTATTCATCTGTTGATGGACATCTAGGCTCTTTCCACAGTTTGGCTGTTGTGGACATTGCTGCTATAAACACTGGGGTGCATGTACCCCTTTGGATCACTACAATTGTATCTTTGGG